GGCAAAGCAGACTCCCTGCCGAGCAGGGAACCCGATGCGGGACTCGATCCAGGGACTCCAGGATCATGACCTGAGCCGAAGGCAGTCGCTTAACCAACTGAGCCACCCAGGCGCCTGTGGCTTTCCTTTTTCTTAAGATATTTCTCTTTCATTTCTTTTCTGAGCTCTTTCAGGTCACATTAAAAATTCTTCTGCAGTTTTATTATCATGTTAAAAAATATTTTTGTATTTCTTTTTTTTGACCTCTTGTTTCATAATGGCCATATTTAATTTCTTTTACAGGAAATGCATTTTCTCTGTGTTTTGTAACAATTCTTTTGATGTGCAAATAAGAATTTCCTTTGTCTTTTGTTCCTTATACTGTGTCATTTTTTTGGGCAAATGGCTGCATACTTTTTCATAGATTCTGTGCCGGCTCATTTTTTACTATTACTCAATTTTAGGGACCCACTCTAACAGACCAGTTATTTGCTGAAGAGACATGTTGGTGTAGCGGGAGGCACCTAGTGTGTGAGCTGGGACATTAGCTTAGGCTTTAAAACTAGGATTCTTGGTCACCAGCACTCTTCTCTCAGGTAGCTGGTTAGCAGGTAGCCTTGAAGATCACAGGTGTCTAGTCAGGTGATTTGAGCTTTATTTATTTTCATCAGCAGCTCCTTAGTTAACTATCACTCACCTTTTGTTTCTTCACCCTCACACATGGATGGGTTGTTAGGGAAATGCTTGAAGAGAAATAGCTAAACTAAACATCAATGATGGTGGGAAAGTTCCTTTACTCCAGGATCTGAATATCCATGTCAATCCTGTGCTACAGGACTTTCGGCAAGTCTGAGGAAATCTGAGCACATGGACTGGCACAAAGATGCTGTTACTGTTGAGAGCATACTAGCCTCTGTTTCTCATCAGAAACAAATGGGACTTTCCTTGGCCCCTTGGTCAAAAACCTCATTCATTTTGGGGTTAGGAGATTTCAAAGCAAACATTGCCTGGGCAAAGTTAACCAGGCAAGGAATACTTGATTAAAGACCATTGCAATAGGGGAGAGAAAGTGAACTCACCTCAGCTGAAATGAAAGATGGGAGAGTTTATAAGAGCTGGGGTGGGGAACATGGGGATTGTCATTGGCCACTTGTGTCTGCCAACTGGCCTTGCCCAAAGAATAAGTACATTTTCTCTTATCTTCATGACAGGAGGGAGTTTTATCCTTGGAGCAAGGCACCCCCTGAAGTTAGGCTCCTACCTTACCATGGAGATCTTCTCTGATGATTACATTTCGGAGACATCCCAGGTCCTTGAGAAAGGCATTCCCTGGATCTTAAAGCTGGCAAGGGGCTTTTAAGGATGTTTATATATATTTCAAAGGGAGTAGAGTAAGAATTTACAGTTAGGTATTCTAAAGTAAATGTTTTATGTTAGCAAAAAGGAAAGGGAGTTCAGGGGTCTATGGATAAGACATCTGTTTAAAATTAAGTCAAACTGAGGGGAGTGTTAAGACCATCATGGTCAGGGGCTGCTCTCTGGTCAGGGAACTATTGCTCTTCAGCCAAGACACTCTCCCCTCCCTGTCCCCCAGCCCTCTTCACCTTCTCCCCTCCCCTCTCCTCTTTCTGACCCAGCTGCTGGGTCCTATATCACTGCTTGGTTCCCAGTCTCCTCCCTGGGCAGAGTGTCAGTGCCCACCCAGAGCCTCTGGGCTGGGGAGGGGAGGGGAGGGGGCTGTGGGAGCTGTGAGAGAAGTAGAGCTGCCTCCCCCAATGCAGGGTGGCAGGGGAGGTCTAGGGGGCCCAATCCCTGGAGAAGTGTATTGGGTAGATGAGGAGCTGGGGGCTAAGAAAGCAGTCTGTCTCCAGGCGACTCACAGGCTGAAGTGCCCAACCAGAAGATGCAGTGCACTTCCTACTGTCCCTGGAGCCTGACTTCATTTGCATTTCTGTGTAACATCCCTGTGCCTTCTTGATGCAGGACCTGTCGATTTCTCTTTGGGCTGTCAGAAGGTGGAGGAAAAGATGGGCTGGCAACAATCTCTGCAAGAATCAGATGTGTCCAAAGTCCGCACCATTTACCTCAATGAACCCCTTAGGAACAGTTTCTGCAAAAACTCAATCAGGTGAGAAGTGTGTGTAGCTGGGAGGAGAGGAAGGAGGAAGAAGATGTGGTCCTCACCTGCAAGAAATACTTGGTGTGGATGCTTCAGGCTATAACAGTTGTCTCAGGCCTTGAGAAACTTTGAATTCTCAAGTTCACCACCAAGAATAGGCTGTGTTTTCGTCTCACCTTCAAGGTTTCTTTCTCTGAGTTGGCCTCTCCTCTCACTTGTGCCTGTTCATGGCAATACCAAGCAGCACACTGTCATTTGGGAGCTCTCTTTAGTATACCTACCTATGAGGTAAAGTGCTTTCCAGTGAAATCTCATAGATCTGCTGAGTTGTCCACCAATATCCTATATTAGGGAATTGAGCGTTTGGCTTCTTTTTTTTATTGACGTTTAGTTAACATACAGAGTTATATTAATTTCAGGACTACAATATAGCGGTTCAACAGTTCTATACATTACTCAGTGCTCATCAAGATAACTGTACTCTTAATCCCCTTTACCTATTTCACACCCCCCCACTCACCTCCCTCTGACAACCACCAGTTCATTCTCTCATTTGAGTCTGTCTCTTTTTTGTTTCTTTTTTAAATTCCCATATGACTGCAATCATATAGTATTTGTCCTTCTCTGACTGACTTATTTCACTTAGCATTATACCCTCTAGGTCCATCCATGCTGTTGCAAATGGCGAGATTTCATTCTCTTTTATGACTGAGTAATATTCTGTTGTATATATGTGTTACACCTTTACCCATTCTATGGATGGACACTTGGGTTGCTTCTATATCTTGTATTGTAAATAATGCTGCAGTAAATATGGGTGTGCATGATCTTTGTGAATTTGGGTTTTTGTTTTCTTTGGATAAATATCCAAAGTGTATTATTAGATCATATGGTAATTATATTTTTAATTTTTCAAGGAACCTCCATAGTGTTTTCCACAGGGGCTGCACCAATTTGCATTCCTACCAACAGTGTGCAAGCGTTCCTTTTTCTCTATACCCTTCTTATTTCTTGTTTTTTATTTTATTTTATTTTAGCCATTCTGACAGGTGTAAGGTGATATTTCATTGTGATTTTAATTTGCATTTCCCTGATGATTAGTGATGTTGAGCATCTTTTTGTGTTATCTGTTGGCCATCTGTATGTCTTCTTTGGAAAAATGTCTATTTAGGTCCTCTGCCCATTTTTAATCAGATTAATTGTGGGGAGGTCTTAAGTTGAATAAGTTTATGTATTTTGGATGTTAACCTCTAATTGGATATATCATTTGCAAATATCTTCTCCCACTCAGTAGGGTGCCTGTTTGTTTTGTTTATGGTTTCCTTCACTATGCAAAAGCTTTTTATTTTAGTGTAGTCCTGATAGTTTAATTTTGCTTTTGTTTCTCTTGCCAGAGAAGACATATCTAGAAAAATATTTCTACGTTCAATGCCAAAGAAATAACTGCTTAGGAGTTTTATTATTTCAGGTCTCACATTTAGATATTTAATCCATTTTGAGGGTTTTTGTGTGTGTGTGTGTGTGTAGTGTAAGAAAGTGGTCCAGTTTCATTCTTTTGCATTTAGCTGTCCAGTTTTCCCAGTACCATTTCTTTTTTTTTTAAAGATTTTATTTATTTATTTGACAGAGAGAGAGATAGCGAGAGCAGGAACACAAGCAGGGGGAGTGGGAGAGGGAGAAGCAGGCTTCCCGCTGAGCAGGGAGCCCGATGTGGGACTCGATCCCAGGACCCTGGGATCATGACCTGAGCCGAAGGCAGATGCTTAACAACTGAGCCACCCAGGCACCCTTCCCAGTACCATTTCTTAAAGAAACTCTTTTCCCCATTGTATATTCTTGCCTCCTATGTCGTAGATTAAGTGATGGTATGTGTGGGTTTATTTCTAGGTTCTCTATTCTGTTCTATTAACCTATGTGTCTATTTTTTGGCCCATATCACTATAAACTTCCTTCCTTAGGTTTTACTGTGTCCTAATAGTCTTTTGGTGGAGCTTTAAGGGTTTTTCATATATGGTACGTCATCTGCAACTAGTGATAGCTTTTCTTCTTCCTTATCAATTTGGATCTCCCCCCCCCCCTTTTTTTTCCTGTTTGCTGTGGCTAGGACTTGGCGGTACTATTTTGAATAAAACTGGTGAGAGTCGACACCCTTTTCTTGTTTTTGATCTTCGAGGAAAAGCTCTCAGTTTTTCACTGTTGAGTGTAATGTTAGCTGTGGGTTTTTCATATAAAACCTTTAGTATGTTGAGATACGTTTCCTCCAAGCCTATTTTGTTGGGAGTTTTTATTAAGAATGGATGTTATATTTTGTCAACTGCTTTTTCTGCACCTATTAGGATGATCATATGTTTTTATCCTTTTTCTTGTTGATATGATATATCACACTAATTGATTTGCAAATATTGAACCACATTTGCATCTCTGGAATAAATCTTACTTGATCCTGATTCTTTTAATGTATTGTTGGATTCAGTTTGGTACTATTTTGTTGAGGATTTTTGAATCTATTCTCATCAGGGATATTGGCCTGTCATTTTCTTTTTTGCAGTGTCTTTATTTGGTTTCAGTATTAGGGTAATGCTGGCCTTGTAGAATGAATTTGGAAGTTTTCCTTTCTCCTCCTTCTCTTCTTTTTTTTAAATAGTTTGAGAAGACTATATAGTAACTCTTTTTCAAAAGTTTGGCAGAATTCACCCGTGGAGCTATCTGGTCCTGGACTTTTGTTTGTTTGGAGTTTCTAGGTTACCAATTCAATTTCAATATTAGCAATCTGTGTGTTCAAATTTTCTATTTCTTCCTGCTTCAGTTTTGGAATATTGTATGTTTTTAGGAATTTATCCATTTCTTCTAGGTTGTCCAATTTTTGGCATATAATTTTTTCATAATATTCTCTTATAATCCTTTGTATTTCTGTGGTGTTGGTTATCTCTCCTCCTTCATTTCTGATTTTATTTGAGTCGTTTTTTCCTTGATGACTCTGGTTAGAATTTATCGATTTTTATCTTTTTTAAAGAACCATTCTTGGTTTCATTTATTTTTTCCAATGTTTTAGTCTCGTTTTATTTATTTCTACTCTAATCTTTATTGTCTCCTTCCTTCTACTAGCTTTGGACTTTATTCCTTCTTTTTCTAGCTCCTTTAGGTGTAAGGTTAGGTTGTTTGTTTGAGATTTTTAAAAAATTTCTTGAAGTAGGCCCATATCACTATAAACTTCCTTCCTTAGGTTTTACTGTGTCCCAAAGATTTTGGAACACTGTGTTTTCAATTTCATTTGTCTCCATGTATTTTTTTATTTCTTCATTGATTAGGTGCATGTTATTTAGTCTCATGTGCTTGTGTTTGTTTTTTTTTTTTTTTTTAAAGATTTTATTTATTTGACAGAGAGCGAGCATGAGTGGGGAGGAGGAGGAGAGGGAGAAGCAGGCTCCCTGCTGAGCAGGGAGTCAGACAAGGGGCTCAATCCCGGGACCCTGGGATCATGACCTGAGCCGAAGGCAGAAGAGTAACCGACTGAGCCACCCAGACACCCCATGTTTGTGTTTTTTAGTTTTTTTTTTTTTTTTTGTAATTGATTTCTAGCTTCATATCATTTTGGTCAGAAAAGATGCTTGATATTATTTTTTTTTGCAAATATTAGCATTTTGCCACATTTGTCTTATTATTCCTTCTCTCTCATATATATATAATTTTTTTCTCTATGTAGTCTCTTTCTCATACACACACACACATACATATATATCACACATTTTTTTTCTGAACAATTTGAGATTGGATTGCAAATATGATGCCTATTTACATCAGTGTGTGTTTTCTGAAAATAAGACCATTTTCCCTTATAGACATAGTATAATTATAAAAATCAAGACAGTAACATCAATTTGATATTATTATCTAATCTATAGACCTTATTCAAATTTTACTAATTACTAATGTCTTTTTTTATGTTATGTTAATCACCATACATTACATCATTAGTTTTTGATGTAGTGTCCCATGATTCATTGTTTGTGTATAACACCCAGTGCTCCATTCAGTATGTGCCCTCTTTAACACCCATCACCAGGCTAGCCCACCCCCCCCCCCCCTCCCCTCTAGAACCCTCAGTTTGTTTCTCAGAGTCCATAGTCTCTCATGGTTTGTCTCCCCCTCCGATTTCCCCAATCTTCTAAATTACGAAGACTTGTTTTGTGGCCTAACATATGATTTACTCTAGAGAATGTTCTGTGTGCACTTGAAAAGAATGTGTATTCTGCTGTTTTGGATGGAATATCCTGTTTATATCTATTACGTCGTTCTGGTCTAATCTGGTTCACAGCTACTGTTTCCTTGTTGATTTTCTCTCTGGATCATCTATCCATTGATGTAAGTGGAGTGTTGAAGTCCTTTACTATTAGCTGTATCACTGTCAGTTTCTTCCTTTATTACTGTTAATGTTCGTTTTTTGTGTTTAGGTGCTCCTAGGTTGAGTGCATAGATATTTAACAATTGTTATATCTTCTTATTGGATTAATCCTTTTATCATTATGTAGTGTATTGTCTCTTGCTATAGTCTTTGTTTTAAGGTCTATTTAGTCTGATACTAGTATTGCTACCCCAGCTTTTTTTTTTTTTTTTTTTTTAAGCTCCCATTTGCTTGGTATGTTTTTTCATCTCTTCACTTTCAGGTCTTTAGGTCTGGAGTGAGTAACTTATAAGCAGCTTATGGATTATGTTTGTTTATTATTGTTTGTTTTTATCTATTCAGTACCCTATGTATTTTGATTTGAGCATTTAGTCCATTTACATTTAATTATTGATAGGTATTTACTTACTGTCATTTTGTCAATTGTTTCTGGTTGTTTTGTAGTTCTTCTCTGTTCCTTTCTTTTCTTGCTCTTTTTCTTTGTGGTTTGATGGCTTTCTTTAGTGCTATGCTTGGATTTCTTTATTTTTTGTGTAACTATTATAGGTTTTTGATCTATGGTTACCATCAGGATCATTTATATGAAATCTTATGTATTTAGCACTCTATGCTAAGTTGATAGGCACTTAAGTTCAAACACATTCTAAAAGCACTAAATTTTTACTTCCCCCTCTGTTTTATGTATATGATGTCATATTTTACGTCTTTTTATTTTGACCAGTTTTTTTGGAAGGTAATTTTACTACTTTTGTCTCTTTTTAATAAATATTTTATTTATTTGAGAGATAGAGATAGAGAGGAAGCACAAGCAGGGGAAGGGGCAGAGGGAGAGAGAGAGAGGGAGAAGCAGACTCCCCAGAGCCTGACGTGGGGCTGAATACCAGGACCCTGAGATCATGACCTAAGTCGAAGTCCAATGCTTAACCAACTGAGCCACCCAGGCACCCCACTACTTTTGTCTTTTAACCTTCATAGTCACTTTTTAAGTGATTCATCTACTACCTTTACTATGTTTGCTTTTACCTGTGAAATTTTTTCCTTTCATACTTTTCTTTTAATTATGGCCTTTTCTTTCCACTTAAGGAATTTCCTTACACATTTCTTGTAAGACTGCCTTAGTGGAGATGAACTCCTTTAACTTTTGTTTGTCTGGGAAACTCCTTACCTCTTTTTCTATTCTGAATGGTAACCTTGCTGGATAAAATATTCTTAGTTGTAGGGTTTTTTTTTTTTTTCTTTTAGTATTCTGAACTTTTGGTCTGCAGTTTCTGTTGAAAAATCACCTTATAGCTCTTTATGGGGTTTTCCTTGTATGTAACTCTCTGCTTGTCTCTTGCTTTTTAAAAAATTCTCTCTTTATCATTACTCTTTGGCATTTTAATTATTATATGTCTTGGTGTACGTATCTTTGGGTTCATCTTGTTAGGGACTCTCTCTGCTTCCTATATCTTGATGTCCCCAGATTAGAGTCATTTTCAGCTATTATTTCTTCACATAAATTTTTTGCCCCTTCTTTCTCTTCTTTTTCTAGGATCCCTATAATGCGGATGTTATTACACTTGATGATGCCACAGAGTTCCCTTAACCTATTTTCATTTTTTTATTATTGATTTTTCTTTTTTTTAAAAGATTTTATTTATTTAACAGAGAGAGATACAGTGAGAGAGGGAACACAAGCAGGGGGAGTGGGAGAGGGAGAAGCAAGCTTCCCACGGAGCAGGGAGCCTGATGCGGGGCTCGATTCCAGGACCCTGGGACCATGGCCTGAGCCGAAGGCAGACGCTTAACCACTGAGCCACCCAGGCGCCCCATTATTGATTTTTCTTTTTGCTGTTCAGCTTGGGTGCTTTCCATTACCCTGTCTTTGAGATGGCTAATCTGTTCTGCATCTTCTAATATGCTTGTGGTTCCCTCTAGTGTATTTTTTATTTCTGTTATTGAATTCTTCAGCTCTCACTGGTTTTTTAATTTTTTCTGTCTCTTTGTTGAAGTTCTCACTGAGTTCATCCACTCTTTTCTCAAGTCCCATGGGTATCTTTATGATCAGTACTTTGAATTTTTTTTATCAGGCATATTATTTTTGTTTCATTTTGGTCTTTTCCTGTGATTTTTGTCTTGGTCTTTCATTTGTGACATATTCTTCTGTCTCCTCATTTTGTCTAATTCTCTGTGTCTATATCTATGTATTAGGTAGGTTGCTTACATCTCCTGGACTTGAATATACTGGCCTTCTGTAGAAGAGTGGTGCCCTATAGTGCAATCTCCCTTGGTCACCAGAGCCACATCCTCCAGGGGTGTCCCCTCTGTGAGCTGCTTGTACCCTCCTCTTATGGTCGGGCCTCAATTACCCTTAGTTCAGCCAGCTGCAGTGACTCACCTTTCCTTCTGTTTGTGCACAGGACAGGGTTTGCTCCCTGCACTGTGGAGAGATCTGTCTGTGGCTACTGTGGGCTTGTTGGTGGGCAGGGCCAGAAGTCAGCCTAGCTGTCTGCAAATAGCCTCTCTGACACAGCTGCAGATGCACAGTAGGGCAGGGCTTGCTTTCTGCATAGCCAGCTAAGAGGCCTGGCTGCAGAAACCATGGGCATGTTGGTATGTGGGGTTATTTCTCCCTCTTTCCAGAGCAGGAGTCACTTTGAAGTGGTTCTGGTCCCTGTGGGAGTTGCTTGCAGGGTGTGGTGGGGCAGGAGCTGTTTTGGTAGGATGCCTGCTGAGGAATCAAGCAGGTTGGATGGGGTGGGTCCACAGGGGAATGCTGGGGTGGGGCACCCTAATGCTAGCAAGGTAGATGAAAAGTATTTCTAGCTCCCACAAACATCTGGCTATCTAGGCTGAGGAAGGGAAAGAGAAATGGCCTCTGCCAGCACTCTTGTTCCTAGAAGAATCTCATGCAGATTCCTGCTCCTCCAGCACATGTTTTAACATTAGTAAATAAATCTCCTTCCTGTATACCCCATGTGCTTTTCAAACTGCTGCTTCTGTGTCAGGTCTTGGGCTGAGTTTAGTATACTGGCTCTTTAAGGGCAGGGACTCAGCTTTCTCTCTGTCTCTGGCTCTCCCACAGTTATGCCTGCTGAGTTTTACAGCTCTTGGATTGAAGCCCTGCTGGTTTTCAAAGCCAGATTTTTGGGGATTCATCAGTGTGGGTCCCCAAGTCTGGGGGCGCCCTGTGTGGGATCAGATCCTCCTGCTTCTTGGGACTTGTGCTGTCCTCCCCCCCTCCCCAAACCGCCCCGCCATTTGTTGTTAGTTGTGCCGGGAATTTGGTTCCCAACTGCAACTCTGCCCCTCCTGCCCTTTTTGGTGTGGCTTCTCTGTGATGGAGCTGTTATCTCGGTGCGTTTGTGGGACAAGTTGAACTCTGGATCCTCCTATTCTGTTGTCTTCCCAAAACTCCTGGTCTTTCTGATTTTAAAATATAGTATATTCATTAGAAAACAAGAAACACACCTGTGATGGCTTTCTTTGTCCATGACCTGGCGTAGGCATTGGGGGTGGGGGGGGAGGTTGATGGATTTAAGATAACTTTTAGTGATAAAGAACCTGTGAGGGAGAGAAGGGAGAAAAATTGGTGACTCTTATTATCCTTGAACTATAAGATGAATGTTTAGAAGTTTTGTTACAAGAATTACAGGGTATTAGAAAATGTGGAATACATCTTGCTTATCTACTATATTCATAGTACTTAGTTCCTGAAATGGGGAAAATTCTTTTTTTTTTTTTTAATTTTATTTATTTATTTGAGAGAGAGAGAATGAGAGAGAGAGCACATGAGAGGGGGAAGGGTCAGAGGGAGAAGCAGGTTCCTTGCTGAGCAGGGAGCCCGATGCGGGACTCGATCCAGGGACTTCAGGATCATGACCTGAGCCGAAGGCAGTCGCTTAACCAACTGAGCCACCCAGGCGCCCCGGGGAAAATTCTTTCTTTATCCTGACAGTGTTTTCAGATAATAATGAATGTTTTTAAAAATGGCAAAAAAATCTTTAGGAAAGAGTCAGTGTTTTATAACAATATTTTATCTACTTCTGGGTTTTCCTTTGGTGTTTTTAGAGTTCACAGTGTTAACTGATAATGATATTTTTCTTTTTACCTACAGCACAGCCAAGTACAGCATGTGGTCATTCCTCCCTCGATATTTGTATCTGCAGTTTAGCAAAGCTGCTAATGCTTTCTTCCTGTTCATTACTATATTGCAGGTAATATTTCTGAACACATTATTAGTTTAAGCTTTTTAGAAAAGAAAATATAAAAAGCTCATTTAGCTGAAATAAGAATTTGATGTAGAGAATAAATTCAAACACTGTTAAGAAGAGAATTCTCTTCTTACAATATTTAAATTACTCAGTAAGACCCATTTTTGGGCTGAAAAACATGTTTATGCCCAATATATGATTTGGTCCACAGTTCTTCCTAATTTAGATCACTAATGAGATATTATTGGACCAACTTCTATAATTTATGCCACCTCCATGATAGGATAATTTTAATATATTTAAAGGAATAGTTTAAAGAAAGCCCGAATGCTAGTTTAAAATAGCTAATTTTCTTTTCTTTTTTTGTATTTCAGTAAGAACACTTAATGTGAGGTCTACCTCCTTAACAATTTTAAGTATACAATATAGCAGTGTTATCCATAGACATCTGTTGTACAGCAGATCTCTAGGACTTATTAATTTTGCATAACTGAAACTTTATGCTCTCTCCCTCTCTAGCCCCTGACACCATTTCACTCTGATTCCATGAATCTGACCATGTTAGATGTCTCATATAAGTGGACTTATGCAGGATTTGTCGTTCTGTGGGTAGCTCATTTCACTTAGCATAATGTCCTCAAAGTTCATCCATGTTATATATGGCAGGATTTCCATCTTTTTAAAGTCTGAATAATATCCCATTGTATATATGCCACACTTTCTTTATCCAGTCATCCATCGACAGACATTGAGGTTATTCCCATATCTTGGCTATGGTGAAAAATTCTGCTATGAACATGGGAGTGCTGCTATGTCTCCAAGATCCTGATTTCAACTCTTTCGGATAAATACCCAGAAGTGGGATTGCTGAACCATATGGTAGTTCTATTTTTAATTTTTTGTAAAAGCTTCATATTACTTTCTATAACAGCAGCACCATTTTCTATTCCCACCAGAAGTGTACAAGGGTTCCAATCTTTTCACATCCTCACCAACACTTGTTATTTTTTTGTGTTTTGCTAATAGCCATCCTAACATGTGTGCGGTGATATCTCACTGTGATTTGGAATTTCATTTGCGTGATGATTAGTGTGATGTTGAGCACCTTTTCATGTCCCTCTTGTCCATTTGCATGTTGTCTTTAGAGAAATGTCTATTCAGGTCATTTGCCCATTTTGATTGGATTATTATTTCTTTTCCCTATTGAGTTGGAGTTCCTTATACATCCTTATCAGATCGGGGGGGCTTCAAATATTTTCTCCTATTCTGTAGGTTGCTTTTTCATTTTATTGATGGATCCCCTTGCTGTGCAGAAGCTTTTCAGTTTGATGTAGTCCCACTTGTCACTTTTTGCTTTTGTTGTCTGTGCTTTTGGCATCCTATCCAAGAAATCATTGCCAAGACCAATGTCTAGAAGCTTTCCCTCTGTTTTCTTTTAGGAATAACATCTTCTCAAAACAGTTAAATTCAAGACTTTCCGTATTTTGGTTTATTCCTGTTTATTCAACCTTATTTTCATCATGAACCCTACAATCCAGCACAACCCAAGAGGCAAGCCTCCTCACAATTCCCCAATTTTCTTCCTATCTCTAGACCTTGGTTCATTCTATTACCTAACCCAGAAGACACTCATCTGGCTATAATCTATCCATTCTCTTAAAGGCTCAGCTCAAATTCACCTTCCTTCAAACTTCACGAAATGCCATAGTCCATCTTCATCTTCTGTAGCAATGATCTGTGCTATATGTTATAACTGATTTTATTTTTTCTGGAAAACTGTAAATTCCTTGAATAGAAATAGTGCCTTCAAAATGGCCAAGCTTTGGGATAAGAATTTAGTGAATTTGTTGAACTGAACTTAAACAGAAGACAGGCATTAGTGAACATTTATAGAGGTCACCATAAGTGTGTACCAAAATTTGTGCATGGAATTAAGAATTCAAGGATGAATTATTAGAGCTAGCTCCTACCTTTGGAGAGCTGGTAGTCTTAACATACAAATACTTTATAAATATTTCTTTAAGTATTAGGGGAACACAGCGTCCTTTGGGCTTGAGGGTGAGTGGTTCAGGAAAATCTAGTGAAAAAGATGACCTTTGAGCCAAAGATTAGAGGAGGAGGAGTCTAACAGTAAGCAGAGGGGCAGCGGAAGAAGAGAAGGCCTTTCAGGCACAGGAGACTGTGTGAGCAAAGGCACAGAAACAAGCACTGGTTGCCTTTTATAGGAAACAGGGACAAAGAGGGGGGAGGGAAAGAGGTAGAATTTTCTCTGAGAACATTTTATGTATTTTGAATTGTGAAAAATTTAAAGTATTAAATTTTTTTCTAGTGTGTGAAATGTTCTAGGGAACAGCAAAAATTTTTTTTGGAGCATAAGGTGTAAAAGAAGCTAAAGATGTTAGCTGAGATCAGGTTATAAGAAGCTTAGTGTGCTACATTCAGAAGCTTGGACTGTATTCTAGCGATAGGAAAAAGGCAGTGACAGTCAGGAGCTAGAGTGAAGCGACCAGCTCTGGTTAGGCTTCACCGAGGGAGAGACGAGAGAGGCCTGCGAATGACAAGACTGGCTTGGAGGTGCCCTGCAGAGAGAGATGGAGAGGACGGGCAGATAGGAGTTATAGGAAAGACAGATTTAATCGATAGCCTAAGCAATCCTAAAATTTCTCCCCTTCCTCTTCTGGTTCTCAAATTGTATTGTATTATATTGTATGTATCTTATTTATTTTGTTGTTTATTTTATTTATTTAATTTAATTTTCAATTTAATTTTTATTTTTATGTATTTTTTGTATTTATGTAGTTTTATCTTTTAATGTATTTGTTTATGTAATTTTTAATGTATTTATGTAATTTTATTTCTTATGTATTTATATAATTTTATTATGTATTAATTTAATTTAATTTTTTAAAGATTGTATTTATTTACTTGAGAGAGCGAGAGAGAGAGAGAGAGAGAAAGAGCATGAGCAGGGGGAGGGAGAGGGAAAAACAGGCTCCCCGCTGAGCAGGGAGCCCCACTCTGGACTCATCCCAGGACCTGAGATCATGACCTGAGCCAAAGGCAGATGATTAACCAACTGAGCAGCCCAGGTCCCCCTCAGATTGCTTTTAAAGTAGCTATAAGAATCATCGAGAGTTTCAAAATAAACACTATTTTGCTACACAAAGAAATAATAAGCAAGCAGGAAATAAGGCAGCATAGAGAGTACACACAGGCCCAAGTCTGGAAATACAGGGCTAAGAACTGGTCTAAATCTGGAAAACTAAAGGGTCCAATCTAGGACCTCACCTACCCTTCCATCCATCAGGAAACTGCCACAGCCTGTTTATCACTTTATTTCTCATTTATTTATTTATTTAGAGAGTGTGAGCAGGGGCAAGGGGGGCAAGGAGGGGCAGAGGAAGAGAGAATCTAAAGGCAGGCTCCACGCTCAGTGAGGAGCCCCAAGCAGGGCTCAATCTCACAACACTGAGATCATGACCCGAGCCGAAATCAAGAGTCAGACACTTAACTGAGCCACCCAGGCGCCCCACTTTATTTCTCATATTTTAAACAGTGGGGGGTAGACCCAGAGTGCCTTCCACCGGAAATTATAAGAAATGTTATTCACCTGTGCCTCCAAAGAAAATTTCTCTTCTGCCTCAAAAAGAAGATTCAGTTAACTGACCTTCTGGATTTAACTATTTTGAAAGGATGCTGTTTTAGACATTTAAGTTTTGAACTATTCTTTTCAAAATGTGACAAAAGTATTGGAAAGGTGACATAATGACCGAAGTGTTAAGAAGTCGCACTTTGCCATAATGTAATGTTTAGTGTCCTGCTTCAGGGAGGGTTTTGATATGCTAAGAGTCTCCCTCCTCTTTTTATTTGACACTGTGGGTTGTTCTTATGTCCCGGGTATGCCACTAATAGCCTGACTTTTAGTGTTAAGCAAAATATAAGAGTCATCATAAGATTCTTGGTCACTCTGATTGTTTTTGCAGCAAATTCCAGATGTATCTCCAACGGGAAAATATACAACTCTTTTGCCTTTGATGATTATTCTTATGGTTTCTGGCATCAAAGAGATTGTAGAAGATTATGTAAGTTTACTGTTAGTGAAATGTTCTCAAAACTACTCCCTTGAGTAGAAGAGGCATGGTTGTTGTTGTTGTTTTCAAGCTTCTTGTTGGAACTGGTATAATTTTTTAAATCTGTAGTTGATGTGAAGAAACAAATTAAAGTTTTAAGATTTCAAATCTTAAATTATGTGTGTGTGTGTTTATTTGAGAAACCAGTAGGACTTAATTGTGGTCATCAGATATATCTTTGAGGCTATAATGCAACCAGAAAATCCTAACGGGCTAAAAAGTTCAGGAATTGTGCAGTGACTTCACTTCTCCTTTAACCTTATCACAGATACAATTTCTTTTTTTTTTTTTTCAAGATTTTATTTATTTGTTAGAGAGAGAGCACAAGTAAGGGGAGGGGCAGAGCAGGCAGAGGGAGAAGCAGACTCCCGGCTGAGCAAGGAGCCCAACGCGGGATTCGATCCCAGGACCCTGAGATCATGATCTGAGCTGAAGGCAGACGCTTAACGGACCGAGCCACCCAGGTGACCCCACAGATACAATTTCACATGAGCCTACAGATTTTAGCAGTGAAGGAAAAGAAGAGAGATATTTAATACTGTTTTCTGTTTGTTCTGACCCTACCTACTACAGCTGAGGTCACTCTAGTAGAGATCCCTTCCTCCTCACTCACAATCCTAATGCTCATTTTCCAAAATTGCTAGCTATTGTTATTCCTATGTTTCTGCCTCGTTCCTTCATATCTTGAAAAGATAGGTCATCAGTAAAATCTATTTGGTTTCTGGTTTTTTGATTGCTTTATAATATGAAAGAATTTTTCAAACTTAATCAAAAGCCTTGAGCTAAATTGGGGCATAATTCAAGATTGCTAATTATGTGTTTAACTAGAAAGATAGTCATTGAAAGCAACGTATAATATGCTGACATTTTAAGTAGCACTTCACTATGTAGGAGGCCCTGTATTGTATGTATTTATGTGTGTGTGCGCGCGTGCGTGTGTGTATTCATTTACACTGAGGCACATACTGGTTCGTGACCTGACATGGCTACATTCATAAGAGGCGGAGCTGGAATGTCAACCAAGGTAAGCTGTCTCTAGGGGCCGCACACTTAACCACTTTGCTTTACTCCCTCCCTTAGATCACATCTTAATTTAGAGAGTCGGATAAAAGCAAAACAAAATTGAAATTAGTTATAGCCAAAAAAAAAAAACCACACAAAAAACAACCCCCCCAAAATAAAAAAAAACCCCAAATCCTTTACAGTCAGGTTTGCTGCCTCTATTCTTTCCTAAACCTACTATGACTTGTATTATGATGTGAATTATTCACTTTGAACTTTTAACATAATGGGTTTTTTTCTATAACAGAAACGACATATGGCAGACAAATTGGTTAACACAAAGACCACGATAGGTAAGATATTAGATTAAGCTTTTATTCGCTTTCACTATAAAAAATATCTAAATTGACCAAATAGATACACGTACTATGTTTCATAACGTTTCATTATTTAAAGAAATATAGAAAACAAAGAACAACCATTAGGAAACTGCTTCCTATATGTGAGAATCATTAATTACGTTAATTAGAATAAAATAAACAAAATTGGAATATTTGGAATATGAGCAATTCTTATGTCAATAAAGATCTGGGTGTTACATAGTCTCTCTCAGTCATAGTTTTGATATGTGCTATCTTTGTAATTGATTAGAAATATATAATGTTGCTTTCGGGCTATCAGCCAGTATTTTAGCATGTAACGGCAAACTGTTTTCTCTTTAGGATTGGAAGTAACTTAACATAGCTTTACCTAACAGTCATCTATCTATCCTTATGTTAAGTTACATTATATTATACATACTGCTCTATTTTGGTGCAGTGCATGTGAACACAGTTTACATATTTTTCCAGTTTATATCAAGGTAAAATTAATAAGGACAGTACTTTATAAAGAAACACATTTAGTTTTTTGGAAAAATATCTTTTATTATTTTGGACTTTACCTGATGCAATTGTTACAGTTAATATAGTTCTATGTTTTCCAGTGTTAAGAGAGAATGCATGGAAAATGGTTATGTGGAAAGAGGTAAGAATGTATTTTAAGTTAGTGATAAGCACCTACCATATTTAGAGTTACAGATTTTTATGTCTGAAACATGTCTTCAAGAACTGTCAAATTATCCTATTTTGTAGATGAGGAAGGAAGTAGAGGATCAAAGGGAATAACTATTTTGCTCAAGGTCACACAGCCTGAAAGTGGTGAAAATAGGCTTTGAATTTAAGTCTGTTTGGTTGGAAGTCTACATGCTTTCTAATGTGCCTCAGTGTTACTTTTGTGTCATTGACTGGAATATTTAAAGATGATGCTTCACAAACTGTTGCTCAGGGTACAAGGCAACCTTTTTTTTTTTTAATTTTATTATGTTATGTTAGTCACCATACATTACATCATTAGTTTTTGATGTAGTGATCCACGATCCATTGTTTTCGTATAACACCCAGTGCTCCATGCAGTACGTGCCCTCCTTAATACCCATCACCGGGCTAACCAATCCCCCTTCCCCCCTCCCCTCTGAGACCCTGTTTGTTTCTCAGGTCCATAGTCTCTCATGGTTCATCTCTCCCTCCAATTCCCCCCCCCCCATTTTTCCCTTCCTTCTCCTAATGTCCTCCATGTTATTCCTTATGTTCCACAAATAAGTGAAACCATATGATAATTGACTTTCTCTGCTTGACTTATTTCACTTAGCATAATCTCCTCCAGTCCCATCCATGTTGATGTAAAAGTTGGGTATTCATCTTTTCTGATGGCTGAGTAATATTCCATTGTATATATGGATCACATCTTCTTTATCCATTCATCTGTTGAAGGGCATCTCGGCTCTTTCCACAGTTTGGCTATTGCGGACCTTGCTGCTATGAACATTGGGGTGCATATGGCCCTTCTTTTCACTACATCTGTGTCTTTGGGGTAAATACCCAGCAGTGCAATTGCTGGGTCATAGGGTAGCTCTATTTTTAAATTTTTGAGGAACCTCCACACTGTTTTCCAAAGTGGCTGTACCAACTTGCATTCCCACCAACAGTGTAAGAGGGTTCCCCTTTCTCCACAACCTCTCCACAACCTCTCCATTTGTTGTTTCTGTCCCTGTCCATTTTTGCCATTCTAACTGGTGTAAGGTGGTATCTCAGTGTGGTTTTGATTTGGATTTCCCTGATGGCTAATGATGATGAACATTTTTTCATGTGTCTGTTAGCCATTTGTATGTCTTCTTCAGAGAAGTGTCTGTTCATATCTTCTGCCCACTTTTTGATTTGATTATTTGTTTTTTGGGTGTTGAGTTTGAGAAGTTCTTTATAGATCTTGGATACCAGCACAAGGCAACCTTTATATGGAGACTACCTCAGGGAATATTTTCATGAATATTTGCCCTTGGGATAGAGGTTAAAGGCATAGTGGGGCTAGATACTTTGTCCTCATCAATAATTCATTACTGACCAGTGTAAAATTCCTTTGAACACTAATTGTAAGAGTGTTTTGATTTCTAAGTAGCATCAGTATGTCTTTCCCTGAGAGAGCTAGAGCGGGTGAGTCAACCATGATTACATTTTGCTCCTCTCATTGGGCCTAAGAAAAAAAAGTCCCTGAGAGATCCACTCCATTCCTGGTTGGCAGTCTCAGGGGAGAGGGTTGGTGAGAGACAAGAGGAGAGGAGTGAGGCTGCAGCGGGGGGAGGGGGGCTTTCTGTGCAGAGGTGATTGCGTGATCTGAGTTTTAATTTACCCCCAGTGTCTTCCACTGGAAGAATGAGTCAAACAGAGCCAAGGACCAGGAATTATCCCTCTGACTCATTTTACCACCTGTACAAGCAAACAGAGCACTTTACACATCAGGTGCTTACAAAAGGAAAAGGGAGTTGATTTGGGGATCCTTTGGGCAAAAGAGAAAAAGAGTTTGTAAGAGATGTGCTGGTCATAAGCACCCTTAGGGTAATGACTGCCTGCTATCACTTCCCTGGGTGCATAATCTTCTGCATCAATATTGTTTCTTGGGGGGAAATCTAGTTTTAATTACAAAGTCTCAAGCTTATCTCATTCTAGTCATTGTTAGATCTTGCTGTAAGTTAGTTGTTTATATAAGTTACAAATGCTTTATTGTTCACTGCATTGTGACCTTGATGTAAGTTGTGAATGTTTGTCAATCCTTTTTTCTCCCCTACTGTTGCACGTGTTCTCAGCATTTATAGACACTTAGAGCATTTAAGGTTCTCTCCTCACTTTTATCCAGAAGTATTTAATTAAGCTTTGTTCAATTAATGAAGATAGAAATGATTTTTATAATCATTATATATAAAAAAATAGTCTCCTTGTTCTCTTCCTCCTCAGAAATAATTTTTTTCAATATAGGTCCAGAAATTGGTTTAGGAAAGAATTTTACCCACAACCTCCCCCCCACCCTGCTTTTCTAGCTGCCCAAGAAGGGCCTGCCAATTTTAAGTGTTGTGTCCTCAATACCTAGCACAGTGTAAATGCTCAAGGGGTTTGTTAAAGAAAAAGTACACAGGAAGAAAACATCAGAAACTCATATTGCTTTCTTCAGGTATTGTTCCTAGTATTTACATATCTCTTAGTTACAAGTTAGAATTCATTCATACATTCAGTCAACAAATATTGATTGATTGATTGATTGATGGAGAGAGATGGGCATTTTTTCTGTTCTACATGGACCTCACAGAGCAGCAGAGGAAAGCCCACCATTAGGCAAGTGACTACAGCGTGATAGTGTATGAACAGCACACAATTGCAAAAATAGTACTATCAATAGGTCTGTTTGGATTTCTCAACCTTGGCACTATTTACATTTGGGGCCAGAAAATTATTTGTTGTGGGGGGCTGTCCTGTGCATTGTGGACTGTTTAGCAGCATCCCTGGCCTCCATCCACTTGATGCCAGTAGCATCATCCCCTAAAACCCCAAAGTTGTAACAACCAAAAATGTTTCCGGACATTGCCAAATGTCCCTGGTGGGAGGGGAGGGCAAAATAGCCCCCCGTTAAGAATAACCATTTTAGAGGAATGACTCCCTCCAAAAATAAAATTGTTCTAATGTAGCTGAAGTTTCTTAGCATGGTTCCAGGATTTTCACATCATAATTTTTCTTAAGAATATTTGACACATTTTGACTCTATTTTTGCTTTTTAAAATTGATGCTTCTGTGATTTCTCTCCTGGTTTTATAGGTAAATGTGGGCGACATTGTGAAGGCCTCAAATGGACAGTTCCTTCCTGCAGACATGGTTCTGATTTCTTCTAGGTTGGTTATGATAGTGGGCATTTAAGGAACTTTTTTTTTTTTTTAGATTTATTTATTTTAGAGTGTGTGGGGGAGGGTAGCAGACTGGGAGGGAGTGTCTCAAGCAGACTCTGCATGGAGCCCCACTCAGGGCTTGATCTCACGACCCTGAGATCACAAGCTGAGCTGAAACCGCAAGTCAGGTGTTTAACAGACTGTGCCACCCAAGCTCGCCCACTTAAGGAACTTCTATTCTGAATTAGAAATTTTAAGAAAACCAAAGGCCTACCCATCTCACCGCTTTCTGCATCCCTCTCTATTATAGATCAGCAAAGTTTTACTGCAAAGTAAAGTTACAAAACCTGCAAAGGTTTACTGTGAAAGGACTGATAGTAAATATTTTCAGCTTTGCAGGCCATGCAGTCTCTGTTGTAGCATCAGAAGCAGCCATAGGCAACATGTAAACAAATAGGTGTGGCCGTGTTCCAATGAAACTTTATTTGTAAAAAGAGGATTTAGCCTGGATTTAGCCTGTGGGCCATAGTTTGCTGACTGTTATTCTATACTTTTATTATCTTTAATTTCCCTGGACATATTTTCTTCTAGCCTAATTGTTAGATTAATTCTATCCCTCCTGTAATTTCTATAGACATTCAGCAAAATTTAAAATTATGCTTATTATCATATATTAATCTCATGGCAATTCTGAGATGTTCCCATTCTATAAATAAAGTGACTCACACAGAGAGTAAGTGATCTTTTCAATACCATTAAGTGGGCTCATGTGAGGCCCAAGTTTAAAAACACAGCCTTTGTTCTTTTTGTAGAACTATATTGCTTTATTCATTGGCCATTTTAGAGGAAACTTACCCAGAGACTCCCTACAATGGGTATTTCCTTTCCATTAGGTCATGTCTGACCACCTCTCCATATGCTTCTATGTTGGGCCCCCTGGGGAGCTCAGCTGTCCCCTCCTTCATGTTCTCTGTAAGGAGAACATAGTCTCGGGCGTCTGTGGGTAAGGGTGGCTATAGTCATGAACACAGCTGCATCTGACATGTTGGGTAAACTGTTTCCGTAGATCAAGTCATAATCATCTCCAAGTGATAAAAATGTTCCTAGCCTTCTAGACACACATCATCTTGGAGCATGGAGAGATTTATTGGGAAGAGAGATTTGTTCTAGAGCCATTGTCTAAGCTTCTGGAAAAGCAGTAATGCCAACACTAGCTCTTATTCCTACCAGATGCACTTTGTTCTTTTGCCATCAGTGCATTAACCCCCTGGGCAAAAGAACTTACTGTTGCTGATAGGTTTCTCTCTTAGGTTTGGTTAGGAGTATGGGGTTGACCACAGGAGCCGGAGATGTACCATAAAGGGCTTTGTTTTTATAACCTCTACATCATTTGTATGTGCGACTTTCTTTGCCTCTTTCTCTCAAAAAAGTACTACTTATATGGAAACCAGTCTTTTTTTTTTGGAGTAGGAGAGAAGTGTGGGGGAGGGGGAGATAAAAAAAAATCATTGTTCTTGGACTTTTTTCTGGCAGTTTTACAGATGATATTTTTCTAAGTTTTCACCCTGCCCCCACTAAACAGCTTAGATACACACACACACACACACACACACACATCCCAATGCTTATTTGATTGGGCATAAAAGTAAGAAAACCAAATTGAGTCCCAGAATGAAGTGAGACCCTAAGAACACTGAAAGGTAATCCTGTGTCAATATAGGCTTTTTCCCTGAGTGTTTCTGCCAAACCCTGAAGACCATAAGCTTCCATTTCATTGAGCATAGGAAGTAGGCAATTCTTGCATAAAGCTGAGAACTACACCCTTAATTAAGGGAGAATGAAGACTAAAAACCACCATGCTGTTGGGAGCAATAGAGAAATGTGCTTGTCTTGAGTTTGGCTTAGGGTGGAGGGAAAATTGTGAGATTCAAGTTGGCTCATGAAGATGTGATCTCTGAATTCACCTTGCCTGTGTGCTGAAAAAATTTTAAGCGGAGAGTTTAATGTGATCATGGAAAATAAAGAAGAAACCTCTAATTAGGAGATAAAACAGAGAATGGAAAAGGTAACAGTCCAAAAGATAATCGCTGACAGTTTCTCAGAATTTTTGAAAGTCTGTCCCTTGGATTCATTGGGTTTCCTGGATCTGAAACTAGAACTAAATAATAGGGAACATCAGAGTAATTTTGAGTGTGATAATCAGAACTATACCAAAGGTGTTCATATTGTTCAGAATGAGAGTGAAGATATCGATTGGCTAGAAACCTTAAACTCTGGATATTTGTCTAAAAATTTACTTTAATATCTAAATGATTAGACATAGAATATATAGCTTTCAGCCATATCAAGGGGGAAAATTATTTGAGAAAAAGGAAAAGCCCTCACAAGTAACTAAAAGAATAGAAAAAAGGCAAAAAGAGGGAGAAATAGAATGCACTTAATCAGGTAGTAGAATAAATAAAAATACATCATCAATAACAAAGCAAATAGATTTCAGAAGTTAAAGAGAGAAGATTATAAAATTGTCTAGCTATATGTTGTTTACAAGAATTTCACAAAACACAAGTGCTCAGGGAGATTGAAATGAAAAAATACATACAGAAATAGTAAAGAAAAGTCCAGAAGAGATGGTATCACCATTAGATAAAATAGACTTTGAGGCAAAAAGCATTCTTTGAGATAAAGTGTCGCTGGAGAAAAAGAAAAAAAGCCATTTCATAATAACAGTTTTAATTCACGGAGAAATGATATAGGTTAAACATAAAGAAAAAACTTAAACATCTATAAGAAATTTACAAACCCAACATCATACTGGAATGTTTCAGTATTTGCTTTCAGGAATTGATCAAATGGAGAAAAAAGTCAGTATGGAGGTAGAAGATTTGAAAAGCGAATGACAACCTTGAAATGGCATGTATAGAAATTCTTGGTGTATTGTACCAAAAAGCAATATATAGATACGCTTCAAGCACAATTAGGAACATTTGTCAAAATTGTTAGGACATAAGAAAGAAACAAAAGATTCTAAGGGACTGGTAGTCCACAGGCCACTTGCTCTGACCATAATGCTATTAAGTTTGAAATCAATACTAAAAAGATAACTAGGAACTTTATATGTTGGAAATAAAACATGTCTCTAAACAATTCATGGGTCAAGGAGGCAATCATAATGGAAGTTGGAAAATACTTAGATTTTAGTGGTTATGAGAATACATCAAATCTCCTATGATACAGCTAAGTTGATAGACATTTTTAGCTTAAAATGCTTTCATTAAAAAAGAAATGCCAAAAAAATGAGCTAAGAATCTAGTCTAAGAAGTTAGCTACAGTACAAAAGAATAAACTCAAATCAGGCATAAAGAAATAATAGAGAAGTAGAAATTAATGAAAAAACAATGGAGAAGATCAAAATGGGGAAACCTTGCTTCTTAGAAAATGACTAATAAATTAAAGTTCTGGTAAGATTAATCAGGGAAGAAAAGGAAAGGCACCAGTACACAATACTACAAAATTGAAAAGTTGGTATAATTATAAGTGCATCAGAGATTAAAGAAATGAGAGGATCTTATGAAAGTTTTATAATCACATTTTAGCATTTAAATGAAGTGCATAAATCCATAATATACTTACCAGAACTTATTCTAGAAGAAATATAGAACCTGAATGGTCCTATAATCATTAAAGATACTATGTAGGTAGTAAAAAAAAATCCCACAAGGAGACTATCAGGACCAGGCATTGTAACTGTCAAATTCTATCACACACTCAATGTAGAGAAAATACCAGTCTTCCAATAAATTGCTCAAAGTAACAGAAAGAATACCTTCTGATTAATTTTCTGAGGCTGGTGTAATCTTGACACAAAAATTTAAAGACAGAATGATAAAGGAGATTTACAAGTCCATTTTGTGGTTAATTTTAGTATAAAAATGTTAAAACCTGACAATATAAAAGATGGTAATATGATCAAATGGGGTTCATCACAGGAATGTAATTTGTTTTTATAATAAGGAGTCGGACTCCATTTTTGGATGTTTGCTGACAAATTTTAAACCTCCCCTCCTCTTCCCCTCCTGCCACACATCTGGGCTGGTTGACAGGAAAGCCTCGGTGTTCCCTCCTTTGGCACCTTGTAAATAATAAACCTTCCCACTCTTTTGGTGTGTTTGTAGCATCAGTTTTGACACTCAAACCAAATCTTGGGTGGGGGGCGCTTGATCCTGCTTCTGAAGGGTGACCACAACAGTTTCATTATTAGGAAATGAAAGAATTGCACTTTAGTGCATTTTCACTTTGGTAGATTAAAAGCTAAAAAACATGATCATATTAATAGAAGCATTTCAAAATATACAACATTTGTGATAAAAGCCCCTAGAAAATGGGGCGCCTGGGTGGCTCACTCGTTAAGCGTCTGCCTTTGGCTCAGGTCATGATCCCAGGATTCTGGGATTGAGCCCCGCATTGGGCTCCCTGCTCTGTGGGAAGCCTGCTTCTCCCTCTGCCCCTACCCCTGCTTGTTTTCCCTCTCTTGCTGTGTCTTTCTCTGTCAAATAAATAAAATCTTTAAAAAAAAAAAAACCTCCTAGAAAACTACCAATAAAAGGGAACTATCTTAACCCAATCAAAGGAAAAAACTGGTATCTATGGAATAAAAAAAAATAAAATTCTCATTATTTGTAGATGACATTATTGTATACAACCCCCCCCAATTTTTATGGATTATAAGTGACCAATATATTGCTTAGTGATACACATAAATGTAGTAATGAAATTACAAAGAGAAGGGAATGATTATCACAAATATTAATATAGTAGTTATCTCTGGGAGGAAGAGAAGAAAATGCAATTGGGGGACCTTTCAGGTACTATAAATAGTTTCTTCTCTTGTAATATATATAGCAATAAAACAGTATTTTGTTCTCAAAATATAACATTCATTCTATAAACTCTTTTGGATATATATTTCACACAAAAAATAAAATTCTATTTTTGTTATCTTTCAAATCTGTAAGAGATACATATAAAATTTACTAAAATTCACCTTGTTTGAAAAATTAGTCTTCTATATTAAAAATAATTTAAAAGTAGAAATCACCTTTATGGTATGAATATCTCATGATCAAATTTAGAGACAAAATTTTTTTAAATAGGGGCTATTGATCTAATGGAAAAGCTTTATCATTTGGAACAGATCTTTTCTATTTGTTCTTGGTTCACACTTCTCTCAGGGAAAAAAAAAAGCTTATGATTCCCACATGGTAGTTGTAAAAATAGAAAGATAAGAAGGGTGAAAATATGCTTTGAAAGTAGAAACACCAATATAAAGTTCTAAGCCAGTCGGGGCTTGAACAAAATCATGGTAATATGATTGCTAGACTGAGTACATTTGAGTATTTCAAATTTGGAAGAGGAGTTTCACAGGGTTTTTAAAAAATTTAATTTTTTAGAATAGCTAATTCACACATGCGTTTCAAGTTTTAAAATGTGAAAAAAGACATCCAGTGACATCTCCTTCCCTCCTGTTTCCCTGCCATCAGACACTCAGTGCTATAATGTTCCCGTGTATATTTCCAGGGATTTTTTTTAGGTTTATAGACAAATACATCTACCTATGCTCCCCCCTTGTATTCTGAAAACTTTAAGTTTTCATTTATAAATGTATCAAAATATCTTTTTCTAGTTTTTTTAAGGTGTAAAGTTAAGGTTATTAATTTGAGATTTTTCTTCTTAATTTTTTTAAAATATAGACATTTACAGCTATAAACTAGACTCTAAGCACTGTTTTAGTTGCATCCCATAGGTCTTGGTACGTGGTATCTTAACTCTCATCCACCTCAGAGTATTTTTTAACTTCCCTTTTTATTTCTTTTTGATCCATTGGTTATTGAGTAGTGTGTTCTTTAAATTCCACTTACTTGGGAGTTCCCCAAATTTATTTCCCTATTAATTTCTAACTTCATCCTATTGTGATCAAAGAACATACTTTGTATGATTTCAGTCCCTTAAATTTATTGAGGCTTGTTGTATGGTTAACATATGATCAATCCTAGAGAATGTTCAATAGGCACTTGAAAAGAATGTATTTTTTTGGGCACCTGGGTGGCTCAGTCGTTAAGCATCTGCCTTCAGCTCAGGTCATGATCCCAGGGTCCTGGGATTGAGTCCCACATCGGGCTCCTTGCTCCGCGGGAAGCAAACTTCTCCCTCTCCCACTCCCCCTGCTTGTGTTCTCTCTCCCGCTGTATCTCTGTCAAATAAATAAAATCTTTAAAAAAAAAAAAGAATGTGTATTTTTCCAGTGCTTTGAATAGATCATCCTCATGCCTTCTTTCCTACGAGGTTTCTTTTTTTTTTTTTTTAAGATTTATTTATTTGAGAGAGAGAAAAAGAGCAGGGGGAGGCAGAGAGAATATCAAGCAGACTGCGCTGAGCACAAAACCCAATGTGGTGCTCGATTTCATGACCCTGAGATCGTGATCTGAGCTGAAACCAAGAGGTGGACGCTTAACTGACTGCGCCAACCAGGCACCCTGATCCTCCAAGGTTTCTGCTGAGGAATGATACATAGTCTTATTTAGCATCTCTTGAAAGTGGTAAATAACTTTTTCCTCTTGCTTTCCAGGTTTTCCCTTTGGCTTTAACTTTTAACAGTTTGATTATTTGTCTAGGTGTGGTTTCTTTGAGAATATTTTACTTGAAAGCTTATTTGTTGAGCTTCTTGGATGTGTAGATTAATGCTCTTCATCAGATTTGGGAAGTTTTGGGGAATCATTTCTTTAAATATTTTTTCTGCCCCTTTCTCAATTCTCCTTTTGGGACTCCCATTATATGTATGTTGGTATGTTTGTTCATGTCCCACAGATTTCTGAGGCTCTGTTTATTTTTCTTTATTCTTTTAAATTTTTGTTTCTCAGACTGAGTTATCCCAATTGACCTATCTTCAAGTTTGAGTCTTTCTTCTGCCTGCTCAAATTTGAGCAATGAATTTTTCATTTCAGTTATTGTACTTTTCTTTTCTTTTCTTTTTTTTTTAAAGATTTTATTTATTTATTTGACAGAGAGAGCACAAATAGGGGAGCAGCAGCAGAGGGAGAGGGAGAAGCAGGCTCCCCGCCAAGCAGGGAGCCCGATGCGGGGCTCGCTCCCAGGACGCTGGGATCATGACCTGAGCCGAAGGCAGATCCTTAACAACTGAGCTACCCAGGCGCCCCTCAGTTATTGTACTTTCAACCCAGAATTTCTATTTGGCTTCTTTATCATTTCTATTTTTTTCTTGATATTCTCTATTTGATGGGACATGTTCAAATATGTTATTTCTTTCAACATAGTTTCCTTTAGCTATTTGCATATAGTTAGCACATCTGATTTACAACTTTGTCTAGTAAAGTCAATGTCTGGATTTGCTCAGGGACACTTTCTATTGATTGCTTTTTAATCTGTGTATGGGTCATACTTGCTTCTCATGGTTTTCATGTCTCATGGTTTTTTGTTGAAAATTGAACATCTTAAGTAATATAATGTGGCATCTCTGGCAATCAGATTCTCTCTCCTCCTCAGGATTTATTTAAAAAAATTTTTTTAAAGTAGGTTCCCTGCCCAGCATGGAGCCCAATGCAGGGCTTGAACTCATGACCCCGAAATGAAGACCTGAACTGAGGTCAAGATTTGGAGGCTTAACCAACTGAGCCAACCAGGCACCCCACCCAGGATTTATGTTTGTTGCTTTTCATTACAAGTTTTTCTTTTAGGCCTTTTGGTTAGTCTATTGTTTCCCCTAACTATTATACATCACCTCAGACAACTGCAATGTTAAAACACTTTCCTGTAATTGTTCTCAACAAATCCCCACCACTGTTTACCCAGGATTTTAGCACTGGGTAAACTCTGGGTCAGGTCAAATAAAAACAAATCCTTCAAGTGGGGCCTTCCAGAGAACCATCAGGTGAAATAATGACTATGGGAACAGGCTTTGAATGAGGTCTTGTTCTTTTATGCTCCCTCCAGTATTGGGATTGTGGACTATTATTTTTTTAAAGCTGTCACTGAGCCAAAAGCAGGAAGTGGGAGTAGGGCAAGTTAAAATATTACAAAGCTCACTTTTTTAAAAACCAATATTCAGCTTTTTTTTCTTGAATAAAATCTCCTTGGGTTGATTTAAGTATTTAGTTAATTTTCAGAGTTCTGAAAAAGTTGATTCTCATAATTTTTGCCAGTTATCTCATTGTTTTATAGAAGAGAAAGTTTTTGGAAGTTCTTACTTTGTTATATCACTGGCATCTTTAATGAAGATATATTTTTATTTTGGGGGTATATGGTCTTGGCTGGCAAGATTGATACAGATTGTTTTACTTTAAACTTGATACTCAGTAAATGAGAATACAGTCAAAAGAGTAAGACAGAAATCAAGACTAAGTAAACTTTAATGACATTTTTTGTTATTCTTTGTGGCATTTCCCCCCAAACAATTAATTTTCATGAGTAAATTGCATTTGATATGGAGTAAAATCTGGCAAGGCAAATGTTCGTTAATTCAGTGTCTCGATTTCTTAATGGGTGAGGTTAGATAGAAATAGAGAAGCCCAAATGTAGTGTTTGTCTGAGAGACTCTGCTCTGTCCAGAGTTATCCTGAAGATTTGATTCTCATTATAAAGGCCATAGAGGGGTACCCGGGTGGCTCAGTTAGTTAAGCATCTGCCTTTGACTCAGGTCATGGCCCCAGGGTCCTGGGATCGAGCCCCATATTGGGCTCCCTGCTCAGTGGAGAGTCTGCTTCTCCCTCTCCCGCTGCCCCCCCCACCCCCAGCTCATGCTTTCTCTCTTAAATAAATAAATAGATAAATAAAATCTTAAAAAAAAAATAAAGGCCATAGAGCCTGAGCCATTGGGAACTACAATGGACCCATTTTAGAAAATAACAGAATTTTAGGTTTGACTTTAGTTGTGACACTGGTTTGTTCTGAGCTATATAACATCTTCTATTCACCCTCAGCCATTTCTCTTTTTGGGATTAAAGAGCAAACACACAGCTTTGTGAGGGTAGTTTTCCACTACAAGATGAATTTTAGGCTGGTAGTATCAGACTGCTAATTTCTCCTGAAAAAGTAATTGTAGTTCTTTCAGTTTTGAACAGTCCTTTCAGCTGTTGATGTAGATCCCATTTCATTGTTTACATTATTGGGAAATTAATTTTTGAAAAGATATTAATTCAGTGTTATTTGCTTTATCTTCCTTAGTGAACCTCAAGTAACCTGTTACGTTGCAACCTCTAATCTGGATGGGGAGACAAATCTAAAAATATGGCAGGTAAAGACACATTTTTAAATCCTAATTTTGTGCCTAAGCTCACAATGTCAAGTTTTGTCAGGTACCAGTTATTATTATTTTTTTTCATGAAGAAAAGTATGTCACTACTGTTGTATAGATGTAATTCATCCTCACCAGTTATTTAGAGGATACTTTAAAAAAAATAAGTAGGAACTAGGTGATACGGTACTAGTGTAAGAAAAAAAATGTCCTATAAAATTCAGGTCATATAAAGGATAACATGCCTTTGTGCAATTTTTTGAGGATATTTCTGTTAGTGCTTTGGTGGTAAAACTACTGTCATGATAAATATCATAACTAGATTAAAGGGGTATAAAGGAGCTCTGAGTATATACCACTGCTTTTTATTTATTTTTAAAAAAATTTTTTTATACCACTGCTTTTTAAACATTTGAATTTCAGAGTAACTTGTGATTACGAATGGAAGGAGATAGTTTTCTAATTAACTTCCTATTAATGGAAAAAAGATAATCTTTAAGATAATTGAGTCTTTGCTTTATCACTTTGCTTCAGTAAGGAAGTCCCTGAATTTACACTTGACTATTTACATGTCTGCTAATCTTTTTTTGCAAACTTTAATTTGATTGAAATGAAAAAAAAACATATTTAGAATTTACTAAAGTAATATATTATCTTCATAAAAATAATATAAGTAATACAGAAACTTAATCTATTAAACCTTATCTCCACCTTCCAAATCCCACCTTTATTCCCAGTACTAATTGTTGTAATAGTTTGGTGGTACCTTCTTATTTTTAAAAATGCAATTGTAGACTTCTGCTTCAGGGGAAATGAAGTAGACATACTTTCTTCTATTTTTCCTGCTAAGTACAAGTAAAAACTTTGGTCATTATATAGGAAAACAAATATGAGAAGACACTGAAAGAGTGATAGAAGAAGGTAGATTGTGGGACCTTGGAACCCAGGGAACAACATGGTGGTGAGCTCCCTGGGTTTTCCTTTTGTCATATATACTAGGCTTGGAACTGAAGAAATCAAAAACCCGGAAAAACCAATGGACACAGACCAAAAAATGCCCCAATAAAAGCCTCCTTTCTCTAGTCAAAGGACCAGGAAAAGGGCAGCCAGCAACACGGAAAGTTTGAGACAATGGCCACTCCATCCCAGCCAAACACCAGAGTAAAAATTTGGCCCCACTCCTACCGATGCCAGCAAAGGTTGAGTGTGGAGCCTAGAATTCCACCCTTACCCAGCTGTAATGAGGCACCCAACCCCCCAACAAGGATGGTGTCAGAGAAACCAAGTAAGAAGCCAAGACTTTGATTTTGTAATAAGGATGGTAATAAGGCCCTCCTCTCTTTTCACGGTGTCAGTGAAGACTACATGGACAGCAGTAATAAGGCACTCCAACCCCTTCAGTCCAGGGAGGTAATGATGGAGGCCTACAGGGGAGCCAGAACTCCCGCTCCTGCCCAGCTATAACAAGGAGCTCCTCCATTTGGTTGTCAACAGAGGCCAAGTGTGCAACTTGCCTCTCTGTCCCCCATCTTGCAGCAATGAGGCCACACCTGCTTCCCTTGTCAGAGTAGTGTCAGAGGAAGCCACCTAACACAGAAAGCTTGGTGATATCCAGATCTTATATTACCCCAAATATCCAGATTTCAATAAAAAGTCATTCATTATGCCAAAAACCAGGAGGATCTCAAACTCAGTGAAAAAAGACAATCAACTAATGCTAAGACAAAGATAATGAGGTGTTAGAATTATCTGACAGAGATTTTAAAGGCTCCATCAGGGAAAGAGTTTCACTGAGCAACTACAAACATGCTTGAAACAAATGAAAATACAAAAGTTCTCAACAAAGAAACAGAATCTCAGCAAAGCAATAGAAGACTTAAAGATGGCCCAAATGGAAACTTTAGAACTTAAAAGTACAGTAAGTACTTAAGGCATCAAAAACTCTCAAGGGATGAGCTCAAGAGCAGAACAGAAGGAAAGAATCCATGAATTGAAAGATAAAACAATAGGAATTTCCCAACTTGAACAGCAGAGATAATAGGCTGAAAAGGAAATGGACAGAGCTTCAGAGACCTGTGGGAATATAACCAAAGATCTAACATTCATGACATGAGATGCTGGAAGGAGAAGGGAGGAGCTGAAAAACTACTAGAAGAAACGGTTGCTAAAACTTCACAAATTTGCCAGAAGACATAAACTACAAATTTAAGAAGCTGAACAAGCCAAAAAAGGTTGACCCAAAGAATCCATACCAAGACACATCATAGTAAAACTTCTGAAAACAAAGAAAAAAATATTTTAAAGCAGTGCGAGAAAAAGGACCCTACCTCTAGGGGAAAGACCCTTTGTGTAACAGCAGATCTCTCGTTAAAACCCATGGAGGTCAGGGGGCGGAGCAAGATGGCAGAGGAGTAGGAGACCTGGATTTCGTCTCCTCTCAGGAATTCAGCTGGATAGGGATCAAACCATTCTGAACACCTAC